TAAGGCTGGATTTATTTGATCAAAAATACAGTAAAAACAATAATATTGTGAAATATTATTACAATTTCAAAGAACTGTTTTCTATGAGAATATATTGTAAAATGTAATTTATTGCTGTGATCAAAGCAGAATTTTCAGCATCATTACTCCAGTCTTCAGAGTCACATGATAATATGCTGATTTGCTGCTCGAGAAACATTTTGAACAACAGTTTTTTTGTAAATATATTGTTTGCATTGCAGTATTAAGAATTTAGCGTTTAAATGCATGAATATAATGTAAACATACTGCGAAACCATAAAATATGCTTCATTTTCTTGAATAACATATAATTCCTTCTGATTTTGGGGTGAAATACAACATGTTCTCAGCAAGTTTAGGAAAAGTGTGTCAGATGCGTCCTGATGTACGTACGTTAAAGATGGGCATGGTATGTAACAGGACGTCCATGCGTTTGAACACAGAGCTGCTCTCCGCCCGCAGAGACGCCTGTTTGGAGAGCACCTGACGGGCTTCATCCACGCGGCCCTGCAGGACTAAACTGATCACCTGCACAAACACAAAGACACACGTAAGGACACGGGTGATGATATGCAGAGGTTCTGGAGGTCAGAGGTCATGTGCTTCGTACCACGTCCCAGTAGGACTGATGATGGGCGGGGCTGTCGCTCTGTAACACCTCTCGCGCTCTCGCGTCCACATCTGACTTGTGCAGACGCACCCAATCCAGCAGGTGGAGCAGCAGAGACCCGGCTGCAACATGAGAGCAAAACCAAGTCAGACAAACTAGAAGAAACGGTCTGCTTTGATCTGGACTCCTGAACTTTTCAGACGTCTCTCTCTACCTGGAGCTGCGTCGATGAAGAGAACCTCACACAAGTTCCATATGAGCTCGATCGCCAAGAGAATAGAGACCTAGAGAGATCAGACGAACGTTTAGCTTCACTCATGTGACAGAATATTCATCTGAAATCATGAGGACAGTACTTTCATTAGAGATTTGATTGGATCATAACTTTATTTTTTCTTTGCTCATGTGTCCTTGATTGTGTCAGCAGAAAGATAGTTTCAGAGGCATTACATTGCAATAAAAATACATTTTTAGCTTTAGAAAAACGTATTTAACATCACTTTTGATTAACTTGTTTTTATTAAAATACAGAATGCATCAATGATTTTATGGTTGTAATAATCATTCACCTTTATCAAGCATATAAAATAATATTTAGAATGCATGCATGCATACTGTTTTAATTTTGTAATCTAGTGTTGTTTTTATGAAAATACAGAATGCATCAATGTTTTTATGGTTGTAATAATCATTCAAGTGGTCGACCGATATATCGCCAAGGCCGATATATCGGCCAATATTTGGCATTTTTCAAATATCGGCATCGGCCGATAAGTTTTTCTGTTTGGCCGATGTGTTCGAGGCGGACTTTTATTTTTACCGGCGCGGTGGACTTTTATTTTGACGGCGCTGAGAACGGCAGCGCCTGAGACCGCCCACCGCTCACATTCTCCCTCTTGTTCACTGTCGTCGTTCAGTTCTGTCTAATACGGATAGAAGTCTATCTAATAATCAGATAGAACTGTTAAACAAAGGAATTAAAATGTATTCAAAAAAGTATTATAACGATTGCTTTAATATTATTAGTAATAGAAAGGCAAACATTATAATACTTTCTCATTTGCCGTCAGCATTCAGCAAATATGCATTTATATCATTTAAATCTTTGAATGACTAATGCACATTTAATTTCACAAACCTTGCAGACTTAGTCGAATCTAGTTGAGATCTTGTGAAGTGTGCATGTGACCTGCATGATCGCGTGTTCTCTGGGTGACGGTCGGTCCGTGTGAATTGAATGCTGACAGGAGGAGAGTTCAGCTTCACTGGAGACATGCGATCGACAAACTTTAAACTCGTGACTGATTTCAAATTATGCTGCGCTTTATGTATTTGCCCACTGTCATATTCATGTAATTTCTACTGTGTGCTGTATGTAAAATGAGTGTTACCTTGGCTTTATTTAAAAAAAATATATAATGATTCCCAATGCACAAAAACTTCCCAGAATACTGAGTGCCCTGTTGGTTACAGTGTTTACTTCCTTTTTAATTAGATTTTTATTAAATATTTATTTATTTGTGAAAAATGCTTTGTCTTCTAAAGTATAGGTATGTTTATTTTACACAATTATTTTAATCCATTTCAAATGATTCCAAATTTCTTAAATATAAAATTATATCGGCTTTATATCGGCCACCCTGCTTTCCAAGATATCGGCATCGGCTGTCAAAAAACCCATATCGGTCGACCACTAATATCATTCATTTATCTTTATCAAGCATATAAAATAATATTTAGAATGCATGCATGCATACTGTTTTAATTTTGTAATCTAGTGTTTAACTTATCTTTATAAATGCATGCATATTTATTTTTTTCTGTTGTAAATCTAATGATTAATTTACCTTTATAAAATAAAGCATGCAAAATAATTATTAATATACTATTACAGAATTTATTAACATGCTTAATTCGTTTTTATTTTTATATTTTCTTTACTTTAATTTAGGTTTTAAAGATTTTAGTTTTTATTCATTTTTATTTCAGATTCAATTTGAGTCATTTTAGTTTTTGCATCTAAAATTTATATTTTCTTTTATTTCACTTTTAATAAAAAATTCCGTTAACAATAACAACACTGATTATAATGAAACCGTGCTTGTGAAACTGCATATCTGCCTTATCGCAGAATTAAACAACTGCACTGCTCATCCGGATACAATATATCAGTCAGTTTTGAGTTGATGTCGATCTTAGCCTGTGGACTTGACAGTACCTGATCTCCATACTGTGACGCTAAAGAACCCTCTTGTGTTGAAACTGAAAAGAGAATGACGACAGCGTGATCAGCTGATCAAAAGCATCCTCCTCCTCCTCCTCGTGTGCGATGTGTGTCATGTGGCGTTTACCTGCGTTCTGCTGCAGCTCCTCCATACAGGCTCTGATCACAGACCTGTAGTTCTTACTGATGCTCACAAACCTGCAGGAGACAATGACAGAGATCACATCGCTTCAACAGAATGCACTTCCACACTATTAGGCACGAGGACTCACTGTGACTTCTTGTTTTTGCTGGGCACGTCCTCTTTGATTTTCTGCAGCCCCACGAAGATGAGATGGGACTCGGAACGTTCTGGGAACGCTATACTAATGTTAGGGGAACATTAGATTAACATTAGAATAATGTTCTACTAACCAAAAACTAACGTTCTATTTCTGTTGAGAAAACTTTGCTGGCTAACCAAAAACAAACCTTAACAAAATAACGTTCTGGGAGCCAAAAACTAATGTTCTGGGAACGCTATACTAATGTTAGGGGAATGCTAGATTAACGTTAGAATAATGTTCTACAAACCAAAAACTAACGTTCTGGGAACGCTATACTAATGTTAGGGGAACGTTAGATTAACATTAGAATAATGTTCTACAAACCAAAAACTAACATTCTATTTCCGTTAAGACAACTTTCCTGGCCAACCAAAAACAAACCTTAACAAAATAACGTTCTGGGAGCCAAAAACTAATGTTCTGGGAACGCTATACTAATGTTAGGGGAACGTTAGATTAACAACCAAGTTCTAGCAACCAAAAATTGTTTGCTGGGTAGTGTGTCATTAACTGTACAATCAACAATGTTATGTTACTTTTGATATGATATTTTTAATTTTCATTTGCTCTGTTTTTTTTATCAGAATATAGAAATGAAATAAAGATTTTGGTACAGAGTGTAGTGTTTCTTTAAAATACTGAACTGTTTTATATACTGTCCTAATATATTTTTTGAACTGTCACTTTAATGGGGTAAAATGTTTCTCGATAGAGGTTCAGAATGAGCTTGGTGCAAATTATATCACGTCTGTTGTAGTTTGCTCACACTCGTTTAGAATTATGAATGAATAATGGCTGAGGCACATTCAGACTGATCTGTGAGTTACATGAAGAACAAAATGGCTTCCTTCCCCTCCAGTGTGAGAACAGGATCCTTCCCTCAGAATCAACACAACACTCCTAGAATACACAAATAAACTCATGGGTGTCCATGTTATATATCTGATCACATGAGAATCACCGTCGTTTTGTGTTATTTTTGTTCAAATTTGGTCACATTTTTTTTTTTCAAGAGGACACTGTGCACGAATGCGCGTGCATGTTACCCCGGCTCCCGGGTCTCGCGCATGACGTCACCCGCTTTGGCCAATCGCGACGGAGCTCGTGACCGCGCACGCAGCGCCTGTTTTTAATCCGGGGCGCGGACGTGCGCGTCCCCGCGGAGTCTTTGTGTGGCGGCGTCGAGAAGCGCAAATACAATAACCATGGCCGACGAGAAACCCAAGGTGAGTGGCGTTTAAAAACGAAGGGGTCGTTTAATATTGGTTACCTTTCAAAGCGTCCGAGGGGTTGCGAAAACACGGAGGGACGCGGACGGTTTGATTTTTAACGTGAAATATCGCGCGTAGTGGATAAATACTGTAACTGCCGCCTCAGAAACACCGGAAGGAGACGTGTGAACGCGCGTGCCGAGCTCACACCGCGCGCGACACACGCAGACCCATTCAAATCAAAATAATAAGGAGAACATACGGTAAACGGTTTCATACCGCGCGTATATTGCTGTTAGAAACCCGGCACGTGCGAGCTCCGAGCTTTAGACCTGATGGAAACATGTTTGCTGTTGAGGATGCGAGTCGGATGCTCACATTTGCATCCATTCATCACGTGAAGCACAGCAGTTCATGCACAGCACTGCTAATAACACTCAAAGCCGCTAAAACCACCGTAAAGATGAACATGCACGTGTTTGTTTATTATTGCATTGGATTTTCAAACCATGTATCCAACCCATGTATCCATTTTGGTCAGGTTTATGATGGACAGCATTCATATCCATTATGAAAACTACAGTTTAATCATAAGACCACATTATATATTGTGCACCTCAAATAGTTCGAGGACTAAAATTAGTGTTTGTACTGACCATAAGTCACATGTTAGCTTCTGGCTTTCTCTGTCCATGTCAATTATTGCATGAGTTAACATACTGTTTTAATCATGAAACTACAAACAGCACTCCTATTGATAAGTTCTAGATGACTGAGCCATTATTTAGAATAGTACAGTATTTTTTGTGGTCCAAATCAAGCGTGCGGGCAATTTGGATGCAGCGAAACAGACATACAGCAGACACATACAATGCATTCTTTAAAAATTAATACATAAAAATATAAATAAAATACATTTCCCTAAAAATTTCCTTCGGGGCCATTTAACAACCGAATTGCACAGGGGACAAACGAATATTTATATCGGTTACTTTTCATCTTTGGTAGTCTATTGTGAGAAACTGAAGGGAGCATAGAAAACTCTGGATACTAGAAACGGTCGCTGTCCAAGAGCACAGATCGAGCCCGACTCAAGACGTGTCAAGCTTCTTTGTTCTTTACCTATGATCTTCCCACTAACTGTAACTACTCTATTTAATGCATTTTTATGTTTCACATGGAGATTTCCAAACCAGCAGCTAATGGAAATAATTAAATTCAAGGATTGCAAATGAGATGTGTGCATAAAATATGCAAGGAAGAATGATGTAATATCTCATAAACTTTTTGTTTTTGTTTTCTCAGGAGGGGGTAAAGACGGAGAACAACGACCACATCAACCTGAAGGTGGCGGGACAGGACGGGTCAGTGGTCCAGTTTAAAATCAAGAGACACACACCCCTCAGCAAGCTCATGAAGGCCTACTGTGAGAGACAGGTGAGGTCACGGCCGGCCACACACACACACACACACACA